GTCCAGTTTCTTCTTAAAAACTTCCAGTGTTGGCGCATTCACCGCTTCTGGAGGCAGGTTGTTCCACTGGTTAATTGTTCTAACTGTCAGGAAGTTTCTCCTTAGTTCTAGGTTGCTTCTCTCCTTGATTAGTTTCCACCCGTTGCTTCTTGTCCTGCCTTCAGGCGCTTTGGAGAATAGCTTGACTCCCTCTTCTTTGGGGCAGTCCCTGAGATATTGGAACATTGCTATCATGTCCCCCCTCGTCCTTCTCTTTGTTAAACTAGACATACCCAATTCCAGCAGCCTTTCCTTATATGTTTTAGCCTCCAGTCCCCTAATCATCTTTGTTGCTCTTCTCTGTACTCTTTCTAGAGTCTCAGCATCTTTTTTACATCGTGGTGACCAAAACTGGATGCAGTATTCCAAGTGTGGCCTTACCAAGGCATTGTAAAGTGGTATTAATACTTCACAGGATCTTGATTCTATCCCTCTGTTAATGCAGCCTAGCACTGTGTTGGCCTTTTTGGCAGCTGCAGCACACTGCTGTGCTCATATTTAGGTGATTGTCCACTAGGACTCCGAGATCCCTCTCACAGTTACTACTATTGAGCAAGGTACCCCTTATACTATACCTGTACATTTGGTTTTTCTTGCCGATAACCTGGATGACAGAGAATCTCCGTGGACACCTTCCAGTTTTCCTTTTCCAGAGCAATAGAGCCCTATTCAGTCATCCAGCTCATGATTCTTGCAAAGATGTTTTTCCAAAAGGCAATTGGATCTTGTTTTTCCTTGAAGATGTTTCGCTTCTCATCCAAGAAGCTTCTTCAGCTCTGACTGAATGATGGAGGATGGAAGGATTTATATTCCTTGCAATCATCCGGTCATTAGCGCTCTTTCTGAGAGTCATTGAGGCCACTGGCAGGTTTATCCACCAGTCAGTCAGAACTGAAGAAGCTTCTGGGATGAGAAGTGAAATGTCTTCTAGCAAAACAAGAAAGTGCAGTTGCCTTTTGAAAAAGGCACCTCTTCCATCTCTCCTGAAACTAATCTTAGCATCTCTTGAAGGTCTCCAGAAAGGCTATTAGAACAGCCACCAAACTGTCATTTTAACCAGCTCCTTGATTAGTTTCCATCCGTTGCTTCTTGTCCTGCCTTCAGGTGCTTTGGAGAATAGGTTGACCCTCCTCCCTCTTCTTTGTGGCAGCCCCTCAAGTACTGGAATGCTGCTATGATATCACCCCTATTTCTTCTTTTCTCTAGACTAGCTACGGCCCAGTTCCTGCAACTGTTCTTCATATGTTTTAGTCTCCAGGCCCTTCATCATCTCAGCTACTCTTCTCTGCACTTTTTCCGAGTCTCAACATCTGTTTTATAATGGGGTGACCAAAACGGGATGCAGTATTCCAGATGTGGTCTTACTAAGGTTTTGTAAAGCGGTATTAATGCTTTGATCTTGACTCCATCCCTCTGTTTATGCAACCAATTGTACTTGGCCATTTACTTTTAAGTATCTTTGGCTGTACTTTGTGATCAAGGAGGAGTGGGAAAACAACTACCCACAAACACAAAAATAGCTGGTAACATTCAACTCACATTCCTAGGTTCCTCCTTTAACTGGGGAGGGGGGGGAGAAGCCAGCCCACGGATTGGTCCTGAAAGAGCTTTCCCAGAAGACCCCGTTGGTGGCACCAGCCTTGCAGTCTTTCAGAGACTACAAAAGAGATTTGAATTTTCTCAAATATTTGAATGCTGGATCTGTTCCCAACTTCACCTCTTTGCTAAGGAGAGGCAGAGAGACCAGTTGCAAAATAAACTTTGGCACTGATAAAAAACAGGGAATAAAAATAAACTCTTGGCTAAAATAAAAACAGCTGGCTCTTTGAATACAAACGGCCTTTCCCATATTTCAACCTGCCTTGGTCATCTTGAGGCCAACTAGATGGCTGTGGACGATGGTAGCTATAGTACAAACCGTGGGGGTCCTTGGTGCTCCCTGAGTCTGCTGGTTTTTCGTTACCCATATAGATCTGAAACCTCTTCAAGAAAACCACCAAGCTCAGAGAGCACCAAGGACTCCCCAGCCCAGTTCAACCTCGAGCTACAAATACTCTCTTCTCCTAGTAGTTCAAACTACCTGGAGGAGCACAGCTCCTTACCTGCATCATCGTGACCACGTGGCATGGGTTGAGCAAGTAGATGACCGTCCGGGAAGCAAACTTGAATCCCACCTCCAGCCCAAAAGTCAGGCAGAAGGTCACCAGCAAGAGGTTTTTGCCCCAACATTCCTCCTTGACCCAGGACTGGGCCAAGCGGTCAGCAGCTTCCTTGGCCGTGGACCGCCCGATCTTCCGCAGAGAGACCAGGATCTCCAGGATTCCCACGAGGATGAAGACCACGCTCTCCAGCAGGCGCTGCTCCCAGGGGAGGAAGGAGGCGCACTCGCGACCCCCATTGCCTTCAAAGCTGGGGTCCACCCCGCCGTAGATCCAGTCCATC